TATTTTTATTAGTATGTATCAATTACACACAATAATGGGTTTCATTATGACTTTTTGGTTCTTCCAGACAGGGTTTCTCTGTGTAGCCCTGGCCATCCTGAAACTTGCTCTGTAGTCCAGGCTAGCCTCCAACTTAGAGATCTGCCTTCCAAGTGCTGGGATTAAAGCTTTGCACCACCACTACATGACTCATTATGATATTTTCATACATGTACACAATTATCATTTTCACCCCATTGCCTACTTATCCCCATCCCAATCTCTGTAATCTGCATCCCTCTCCCAAGTAGTCCCTGTGTGTGTGTGTGTGTGTGTGTGTGTGTGTGTGTGTGTGTGTCCATCTCAGTGAGTTTCGCTGGGATTGCTTACTGGGGTATGGGTAAGCTATTATTTGGAGGATTGTGGGCACCTCCTAGAAGCTCAATATTATTTTTTGGTTTGGAGAATACATTGTGCTTACAGTACTGGGTTGTTTATTTTGAAACAGTAAACACAGTGAAAGATACGTTTAACATTTTAATGAATTGCCTCTGAGTGTACAAAGGTGACCTTTATTATGCCAGAGAATTTTAGTTTTTACTGCACTGAATCTGTTCCCCAATTTTTGTTAAAAGAGTTTGATAAGTAACTCATGAATGGCAATTTCAAAGACCCACATCCTTGTCTCTTAACTTCTTTTTTCTTTCTTCTTCAAGCAGTGTTACTGATAGTTCTTTAATGACTCTGCTTGGTGGCATCATAGATAAATGTTACTTTTAAGTTTTTTGTTTTGAAAATGTTGAGATATAAATGAAAATAGAGAGTTCCATAGTTCAGACTCAGGGGTTATTAACTCTGTCAGTTGTGATTTATTCAGTCAGAGATGGACCAGCCATAGTGAGTGTGTGAGTGTGTGTCTGTGCATATCTGCATGTGCAGGTGAATTTATTACTGAACTTTTACTGTGCAGAGTGGCTGTAATGCTGTTTTTTAGTTTAACGTTTGATAGTGTCATACATATGTACCCTGTATTATGAAGTAGTGGTTTTCTTCAAGTGTGTGGGTCCTTGAGAATACAGTGGAAAAGAAATATGCATGTCTGGCCAAAAGAACAAAGGAAACCTGGCTCTCAGGATTGTCAGCTGAAGTTCATGCAGATGGGCTGACTGCCAATCTCTCACTGCCCTTCATCTCTGAGCCTACAGCCCACTTGCTCTAGAGTTCGAGGCTGCAGGGTGGATGGTCTGAGAGAGGCAGCAGCAACTGCAGATCTGCTTGGTCTTCTCATGGTAGTATTCTGAACAAGGAAACACGGGGGCTCCCGTTTCTCTTGTTGTCCAGGCCTCCCAGTAGATGCCTCTTGTAGCTGACCTTAACCTGAAGCCAGGGGAACAGAACTGGGACACATTGTAAAGCTTCTATTTTCAAACTCCTTCATATTATTTTAAAAGAAATTCCAAGTGCTTTGTGATTTTTATCTAAAACTTCAGTGTGTGTCTGTAAAATGTAGACTTTTAAAACAGTATTTTAATTCTTTGAGTAGAGGTGGGTCTTGAGGACTCTTCCTTGATCTACTGTGGACTTTTGACTGACTTGAGTCTATGAAACTGAGCTGATGCACTCAGCAACCACAGCGTGTCCAGAAGTCAGCTCTCTTCCCCATCTGCTGATCTTACCCCCCCCTCCCCCGCCATGCTTTCTGAGCCTTGAGTGTTGGAAAGCTACTACAGATGACAAATCCACAGTCACTCACCCTATGCATTCCCACCAATTGTGGGTCTTACATAAGCATCTTCTCTGACCAAATATGAGAACAACTCAAATCCATGGGTATAAACATTTATATTTAGAATATTTAGAAGACAGTGTGGTAGTGTAACTGTTTAGCAAAACAAAAGCAGTAGGTTCTCCCTAAGGCCTACCATCTCCTTGGTAATGGACTTTTGACCAGGTTTATATTACCAGGTATGAAATTCCTCTTGTGGAGCCGGGCCCATAGCCAATCAGAAAGCAGTTGGTAATTCCTGTAACCACCATGCCACTAATGGGCACAGCTTGCCAACAGGTCAGTGTTATAGCACCAGGTTCCCATGCTAGGAAAGACCCGTGATGTTTCTTTCCCCCAGCAGACTTCATAGTACTTCTGCCACTCTGTCATTCAGGAGAGAGTTTACTGGTCCAGGTCTAGTTTGAGGCTGATTTCTCTACGTCCTGTACCCAAAGTGAGTCGTGTCTTCAGCAATAGGCTCTTACCACCTAAAGATATAGAAATATCATTGCTAAGGCATTTATTTATTTTGTTTGTATGTTTATATGTGAGCACACCTATGCCACAGTGGGAATGTGGAAGTCAGACGACAAATTGCATGTAAGTCCTGCAGATAGAATTCAGATCATAAAGGCTTCATGACAAGCCCCTTTACACCTGAGCTATCCCGGCAACCCAAATGAATAACCCCATTAAGGTTCTGTTGAACATTATTTAAGATACTGCATCCTCTTAGTAACTTTCCTGCCTTTTTGGCAAAGTGGTAAGCATTTCAGTTGTACTTAATCCACTGTCTTGTTTTATAGGAAGAATAGTGTTATTTATAACCAGTTGCTGAGCACACACCTAGGTTCAGGCTTGTATTGGCTGTTGTAGTTGTAGTAGCCTGTGATGGTTCTTGTTAGTGCTGTGCCACCGTGAAAAGTGACATACTTTTCAGCTGCAACTTTAGGTCATTGGAGTAGCAATAAGAGAGAAATTTTGTTGTCACATCTTCCCATTGGTGAATGACCTGTTCTTGTTCTTAGGTGTATTTTGACAAAAGAAAATTTATCTTATATTCTGGCACATACTGTGATAATTATGTAAGACTGAATTGTCATTAACCTATGGTCTGATAGAATATGATGAACCTTTCAAGGCAGCAAATGCAAGAATTTCCAAGCAAGAAACAGTCTTAAGGGATATGACCATCATATGGAGGAGATATGTAATTATACATACTTCAAGTGGATTTTTTTATGTTCATTGGTGTTTTTGCCATGGGTATTGGGTCCCTTGGAACTGGAGTTATAGATATGTGTGTGAGCTCCCATGTGGGTTCTGGGAATTAAACCCTGGTCCTCTAGAAGAACAGTCAGTATTCTTAACTGCTAAGCCATCTTCTCAGCCCTTCAAGTAGATTCTTGATTAATACCTTACCCTTTTCCTGCTTTTTTCTGTGTATGGATGTTTTGCCTGCATGTATGTGTATGCACCATGTGTATGCAGTGCCCACAGAGGCTAGGAGACCTCTGATCCCCTAGACTGGGCTTATGGATGGTTGTGAACTGCCATGTAAGTCCTGGGAATTAAACCTGGGTCCTCTGCTTTTAACTGCTGAGCTCTCTCTCCAGCCCCGAATGCCTTACTTTTTTTTTTTTTTTTTTTTAGAGACAGGGTTTTTCTGTGGCTTTGGAGGCTGTCCTAGAACTCGCTCTGTAGACTAGGCTGACCTTGAACTCACAGAGATCCTCCTGCCTCTGCCTCCCGAGTGCTAGGATTAAAGGCATGTACCACCAACGCCCAGCAATGCCTTACTTTTATACATTGACTAACTCACCAGGAGACTCTGATGCAATAGCTGTCTAGTTCTAAATGTTCCTAGAGAGAAAGCTGTGCTTCTAGCCGTTGTCTTCACTGGTGCTTTTTACATTGTCAGTATGCCACTGATAATGGGTAAAATGTAACAATGTATCTTAAGTGTTTAGGGCCTTAGGAATACTCTCAGCTTACAAAGGAATGATGTAGGGTCAGCGACTTACAAAAAAATGCTTGCGGAGAAACCTGCCCTTCCCTCCACCTTGATAAACATTATCAAGACAATGTGTTATCCCTGTTTGGAGGTGAGGTGTCTTTTGTCTCTTACTCAATAGCCTTTGACAAATATGTTTTTAGCTAGAAATGGGAAAACTAAGCCAGGAAGAAGATTGTGCAGGCTTCTCTTATTTTCAGTAAACAGAACAGATGGCTGTATGATTAGCTGTATTTTTGAACAACAAAGGAAAAACAAAATCATTCCCACCCCTCACCCCCCCCCCAGCTCTGGCTATGGGAGCTTCTTGGCATGTCTTGCATGCCTTTTGGAGAACTTACTTGGTCTTGAGGCTCTTATCTTGGCAGTTGAAACTCCAGGATTTTCATCTCCATTGCCGTTTTATCTGAACTTCTTTCTAGAAGAAACAGACTTGCCTTTTGGCTGCTCTGTCTGGATCTTTGTTCTCCTCACTGTTCCTTCTTGTGAAACGTTAGGCGCTCTCCAGCTTCCTGCCCTTCTGGTTTCTAATGGGAAGTAAGGTAGAGAGGCCTTCAAAGCACAGAGCCTGGAGCAAAGCTTGGGTGCACATCTTCATTCTGCTACTTAACCTCTCTGCAAAGGGGCTATTGATGGCACAAGAATTAATACAAGATACTTAGAGCCGTGCCATGCTTTTTTCCCTACTAGGCACTATGTCTGAAGTGTTTCATTTTGTTTTTTAAGAAAACAGTGTTCTGCTTCTGAATTACATTGACAGTTACATGGTTGTATGTAGTTTTTGAAGGGATGTAAAGGGTAAACTGGGTGATGAACAGGGGAATTTCTAACGCACAACAACATAACTCAACATTGCTATCTGATTGAATAAGCCAGTGTTAATACAGGATAAATCTGAATATCAGCAGGATGATGAGGCAGAAGATGCTGCCAAGTAGTTTATTAGGCACCTAGGCAAAAAAAAATGAATTTTGGAGATTATTTCTGTCATCACTGGAATTGCTTTCTGTCATCACCAAGTCTTTATACAGTAGCAGGAATCTGAGGTGAACTAGAAAAGAAAAGTAGTTGGACATTTGGGGTCATGGGTGTGGGTGCAGATGCAGTGTTCCAGGATAGAAACACATGTGGAAAGTTTAGGTAGCCATGGGATGGTGTCTCTCAACAAAATGGACTCTTTTTCTACTATGTGGGCAGCATTCATGTTGAGACTAACATGATTTTTCTTTTCATCAATAGAAAGGCCCCACTTCTGGGAAAGACCGCGTGAAGAAAGGTGGATCCTACATGTGCCATAAGGTCAGTCATGCTACTAAACTGTTGAGATGTTCTTGTGGGTCACAAATTCATTATAACATACTGTCCCCAAATGTTCTGTTCATTTTTGCTAATATAAACCTCTTCCCAACCAAATGAGAAAAAGACAGGAGAGTTTTCAGTTTCCTAACATGCACAGGGCAAAGTAACCGGAGAAACAGCTTGTGAATTGCATGCTGCCAACCAGATAATCTGCTGACTCTTGCCTGGTCAGAGTCTTCTGTTAGCCTGTGACATCAGGTGGGCCATTTACCTCTTCCCCTGGTTAGTCCTAGGGCCACACCCATATGCTCAGATGTGTAAAATTCCCAAACTCTCTGTTGGATTCAAGCTAAAGTTATAAATGGAGGATGGTTTGTGGTCTACCAAAATGGAAGCACCCCAGAGTGTTGGGTGTAAACGTGCATTTTTCTTCCATGCGCTATGATTTCAGTGTACAAACTGGTAGTTCTTGGTTAGTCTGAGTGATGGGTGCCTGAGAGAAACTTTTATAAGGAATTTGGAAATAGAATCTGACCCCTCGCTTTCCTCTGTGACTCATGTATTTTTAGTGCCATGAACACTCAAGCATTTTGCAGTTTATTATTGCCAAGAATCTTTGCATGGTAATTGACTTAGTCCTGGAGACTTAAATTCATCTATAGTACCTTCAAATTAAGTTACTAATTTTGTGATGGGACATTATCAAACTTTGCCCAAAAACATCAGGGGCTTTAAAGTTCTGCAGGTATTGAAAACATACAGCAACGTTTGGTTATAGCCTCAAGAAACTAGATGATGTACATGAGTGAGTTTGTTGGTATGTGTTTCCTGCTTGTTTCTTAGTTTAGAATCTTTGACCATGTGATTCAGGTGTGAAGTTCATTCAGTTCAGCTAAATTCTTGTTTCATACCTACATTAAACTGAGCATGGTGGCACACACCTTTAATTCCATCACTCAGGAGGCAGAGGTAGTATATGGATCTCTGTGAGTTCAAGGTCAGCCAGGGCTACACAGTGAGATCCTGTCTTAAAAAGCTGAAACCAAAATAGGACAACAAATCTACATTGATAATAAGATGTGGATAAATTTAACTCTATGGAATCATAATTAACTAGTTAATTAATTAATTAAATTTTTGAGTTAGGATCTTGGTATGCTGGCCATGTAGTCTTCAACTCCTGAAGTAAAGTATTCTTTCTGCCTCAACCCCCCAATAAATGGGACTATGGATATGTTCTACCTTTCTTGGTTCATATCTCTTTCTGTTTGTTTGTGTTTTTGTTTTTTTGAGACAGGGTCTCTTTATGTAGCTCTGTTTGGCGTGGAACTTATTATGAAGACCAGGCTCTTCTTGAACTTATACAGATCCACTTGCCTCTGCCTTCCAAGTGCTGGGATTAAAAGTGTGCACCACCATGCCCAGCCTTAATCATAGGGAATAAATAATTTTTTGAAATTAAGTATCATACTACTATAGTTTTTATGTTTCATATCAGATTGAGAATATTTTCACTTTTGTTCTGTAGCCCTGGCTGACAGATAAGCAATTTAAATAGACCTAAAACCCCTATGGAAATAGAAGCAGTCATCAAAAGTCTCCCAAACAAAAAAAGCCCAGGTCCAGATGGCCTCAGTGCAGAATTCTACCAGAAATTCAAAGAACAGCTTATACCAATTCTTCTCAAAGTATTCCACGCAATAGAAGCAGAAGGGTCTTTGCCAAACTCTTTCTATGAGGGTTCAATAACCTTGATCCCCAAGCCACACAAAGACACAACTAAGAAAGAGAACTTCAGACCAATATCCCTCATGAACATTGATGCAAAAATACTCAATAAAATACTGGTAAATCGGATCCAAGAACACATCAAAACAATCATTCACCACTATCAAGTAGGTTTCATCCCAGGGATGCAGGGATGGTTCAACATACGAAAATCCATCAATGTAATCCACCATATAAACAAGCTGAAAAACAAAAATCACATGATCATCTCACTAGATGCTGAAAAAGCCTTTGACAAAATCCAACACTCCTTCATGATAAAGGTCTTGGAGAGATCTGGGATAACAGGAACATACTTAAACATAATAAAAGCTATATACAGTAAACCAACAGCTAACATCAAACTAAATTGACAGAAACTCAACGCAATTCCTCTAAAATCAGGAACAAAACAAGGCTGTCCACTCTCTCCATACCTTTTCAACATTGTACTTGAGGTTCTAGCCATTGCCATACAACAACAAATGGGGATCAAGGAGATACAAATAGGGAAGGAAGAGGTCAAACTTTCACTGTTTGCAGATGATATGATAGTTTACATAAATGACCCAAAGAACTCTACCAGGGAACCCTTACAGCTGATTAACACCTTCATTCCTAGTTTTTAGCAGTCTGTGTAAGCTTCCGGAATGATGAAGACACAGAAAGAGAAGCAGTGAGGTAGCACTGCATCCAGTTAAGAGCATAGGCTATTGTCCTCCTTCTGTTGATTACAATCTGTGTGGCCTTTGGCCTACTGTTACTATCTCTTGGTCTCAGTTTTTCCTCCTGTGTAATGTGAGTATGATTTATGCCTTTCTCATAGGATTATTTGAAGAATTCACAGAATCAACATATGGTAAATTGATGGATCAGTGCACTTAATAAGTGCTCAAATACACATTTTGGTAATTGATGTTGTTAAATTGATGCCTAACATTCCAATGTGAACTTTTCATGCCAATCCACAGCACCAGGGGGATCAGCCTACCAAAATGGCAAAGGAATTGACTACATGTCATTTAAAAGAGACCTGGGCTCTGGTAACTGCTTCCCTAGAATGATTTTATTCAGTATGAGATACAGTTGCCTTTAAAATATCCTTTATCTGAGAAACATTTTCCTCTCATGGAAAACATATTTGTGTCTCATTTGAGTTCACAGCCTCCAGGCTGGTAGGTCATTATCTTAACTGGATTGCTTCCTGATCCAGGATTAGATCCTTAACATAGATACTGAGATCACTTTCACAAAGTAATTAGCCATTTAGATGAAATTGGGTTGAAACAAGTCCCTCCTACTATTCCCGTTCTTAATTAATAGAATGACCCATTTTCAGCCACCCAAAGACCTTCCTTTAAGAACCACTTTTGATGCTACAGTTAGAGGTAGAAAAATAGAAAGAATAACCAGAACATTCATAACCAGGACATTTGCCCTTTATCTGTGGCTCCATTGGTGACTCGCGATTGAAATTTAAGAGAAGCGCTTATTAATAAGTGTTTTCTGAGTGAATGGGTGAGTCTACGTGGAACGGTGGTGTGAACTGATTCTTTGCAGGTGATGAGCCTGACCTTTCATTTCAGCTCTCCCGAGTGCATGTGCATGCATGTTGCTGAGGATCAAACCCAGGCTTTGCACACACTGGGAAAATGTTCTGTCACCAAGTGATGTCTCTATTCCTTCGCCACTTTTGTAGTGAGACTTGCAGCTTTTGAATTCTTCATAGTTGTTCTGGTTAATGGAAGGCTCAGTAACTGCTGTCATCCAGTGGTGACCCTTTATGTGGTTGTTGACTTTTAAGGCTTTTTGTTATACAAACAAAGCGAATTCATTGCATAAAATTTAGAAAAGAAATGATAAAGATGACATAAAATTAGATGTCTTATGTCCTAGAGAAAACTATTAGATGGTTTTCTACCTTGAGTTTTTATGTACTTTAATATATATATTTTTCAAAAATAGAATTAATTACTCTGTGTATACTTAAGGTTTTCAATTACGGTCATAATAACAATCTTGTACATCACAGATCTTTTTTCTCCTCTCTTGTGTCATTGAAGCAGAATCCTTCTCAACACTGTTCTGAGCAGGCACTAAAAATTCATCAGGGCTGTTGCAGCCTGGCTTTGGTAGCATATAGAATAATCCACCAGAGTTGTCCTTCAACTCACTTGTTTATACGGCAGTAAACCTCTCCCTTCCATCCGTGTGACACAAGTGTATCCACAGTCGGAAGCTGGAGGAGGTTTCATTTTTTTCCCCACAGTCAACACAGGCCTGCTTCAAGGTTGGACAGTGCTGCTCTTGTTTCTGTGAGGAAGCCGTCAGCCAAGCCGAGTTTCTGTGACCAAGAGTGGGTGTCCACTAAACAAATCATCTACAGTGCTCTCTAGAGACCACTGTTTTCCTTTGTTATGAAGGGGTTTGTTTTGGTGTGTTTCAATTTTGGGGGTGCGAGGGATTGAATGCAGGCCTTGTTCACAGTAGATGTGTGTTCTAACACTGAGCGCAGTCTCTCAGCCAAGACCAAGTGTTTCTCTGTGCTTCTGTGGACAGCTTCATGTTAGCAACAAGGACCCAGATTCTAGAAGGCTTTGCTTAAGGGTAAATAGCCACTGAGCTTGGAATTTTGCCAATGCTGGTCAAAAATTAGCAAAATGTTTATCACAATTTGTATTTGTATCTAGTCCAGATTCCTTTGACTGTGGGGATGGTAGTGTGACTCCATCTACTTATGTGATCACATTTCTTGCTTTTTACATTAACTGTCTCTGGCTAATTTTGTTTGGAATTCCAGTTTTTCAATTTTGGGGGCATCTCCGCTCCCTCTTAGAGAGGCCTTTCCAAACCACCCTGTGAGAAATGTCTGCCTTTGTTTTCAGTCCTCTCCCCAGTTTTGCTTTCTTCAGAGACGACCACTGTCTTGAATTTTTCAGTCTGTTTATAGTCTGGCTGCTCCCTTTGAATGTCAGCTCTCTGATAACAGGTTCCTTGTTTGTCTGCTCTGATTATATTCCTCATGCCTCAAATTGCATCTGGCGTATTACAAGCTCTCATACAATTAATGTATGACCTTGCTGTGATATGATTGGGCTATGGTTTGACTGTTCTCTTGCCCAATTTTTGCTGTTTTCATACTTCAAATACCACTGTTTAGCCACTTAATCTGCACGCCACTCTCCTTTATAAATTACTGTTTTTCAAAGTGTACCCCGTGGGCTGAAGCAGCCCCAGGAAGCTTGTTAGAAATGTACCTTGAATGCCACACGAGCTTTGTAAAAGCAGCATTTCTGGGTGTACAACTTAGGTATGTGTATTTGAATAAGCTCTCTAGGCTGTGTGGGAGGGGTTGGGGGAGTCTTATTGCAGTGATAAAATATCCTTACCAAAGCAATTTACGGGTCAGTGAGATGACTCACTGGGTGGAAGGAAGGAAGTATTTGACAGGACTGATGTGTGGGATCACTGACGTGTACAACACACAGACAGAATAAATAATTTAACAGCAACTTACGGAAGAAAAGGCTTATTTTGGCTTACAGTTCCAGGGTAGATTTTCTGTGACGTGAACATCATAGTGGCTATAGTTTAAGGTAGCTGGTCACATTGTATCCACAGTCAAGAGACAGAGGGGGAGAAATATTGATGGTCAACTAGCTTTCTATTTTTTATGCATTCTAGAACTGCAGCCTAGGGAATGATGCCACCCATGTTTTGGGTGGGTCTTCCCACCTCAGTTAACCTTATCAAGATAATCCCTCACATGTGTGGCTCAAGGTTTATCTCGTTGGTGTTTTAGTCCTGTCTAATTTACAGCATTAATCACCACAGTTGCATTCTGAGAACCACTGACATAAACATGCATGTGTCACTTAGGCCAAGTACTTCCTAGAGACATTTATATTTTGCAAGGTATACAAATGACTGGCATTAGTCTTTAACTTAGTCCAAGGCTGTTTTATAATGGTTTGATGTGTAGTCATTGTTTTCTCACCCGCCTGTGGTCTCTAGCCAACCAGGACAAGATCATGCCTAGACCTGGGTATGTTCTCACAGTGTGTACAATAGGCATTAAGGAAATGAAATTTCTTCCGATGTATACATTAGGCAGTCAGGAAATGAAATGCTTATCGTTTTCATTGTGTGTGCTCCCATCGTGGAATAAGACTGTCAAAGTCATCTGTATGCCTCCCCCAAGCTTGACTTTTGCTACAGCATGGAATTCACTGCGTGTGTGTGTGGTTTCAGAAAGCGCTGAGTTATCTGAGTTTGATTCTAGAAATGCCAGAGCTCTGCCATTTCACAGCAGCCTAGTGCCTGCACCGAGGCTTCTGCTGTGTCTTCTCACCCACTCCTTCCTTACCAGATGTTTGAGAGCTTCCATTCATGCGGGTCACATAGGAGCAGATATTATTTCAAGTACATTCGAAATTCATCTCCTGTTGATCTACCTGAGAATTGGTAATACATTCTGTTCCTTGCTGTCCACAAGGAAAATTGGTTGCTATTGTTTATTATCAATAGAAGACAGAGCATTCTGTCTCTTATTTTTTTATGGGGGAAATACACCAGAGAATTTCCATGTCAACCTCAGAGATAATTTTTATGGAGATTGGAAGCATCTGACTCTTTGTGAGAGAAAAGAAATGATAGGAATAAGAAAATGTCTTGCATGCTGACCCATTTTTCCCTTCCCACAAATTACCTCTTCTGTGTGAGTTCCCAACATTTTCTACACAATACTTTAACCAGCTGGCAGGTACTTGGATTCACTGGGCCAGCTCTTGAGTTTATGCTCATGGCACCCGGAATGACTGCTTTCATTCTCTGTTACTTTGAATCAGGGAATGAACCTCACAAGAGGTCTGTGCATGGTTCCTTTGGAATCTGGCAGCTTTCAAAATGTTGTGTCAAATAGTCTGTGGCTACAGATACATGTCCTGTGTGTTTGTGTTGTGTCTGTAAGTGGGATGTGTGTGTGTGTGTGTGTGTGTGTGTGTGTGTGTGTGTGTGTGTGTGTGTGTGTGTGGTGGTAGGAAAGATGTGAGAAGGATGGCCCACTTCCCACCGAGAGTGTAGACTCTTGCTAAGAAAGGGACCACACTACAGTCATGCTCCCTTTAACAGCTGTGTCACCTTCTGTAACTTAATTGGTTTGCCTAGGCTCTTACAATCAAAGAAATAAAAGACAAAAGTGCCTGCTACCATGCCTAATATGTCCTAGGAAATCAATGTCCATGTTTGTGTGAGCGCTTACACTCTGTTCTTACACAGTTTGACAGACTGAAATAAATTGCACCCCAAAATGTCTAGCTTTATTATTACTGATTTAAACTCCCAGGATATTGGGAAGAAAGCAATTTTCCCATAGCCTTTCTTATAGTTTTATGGTACTATGCTGACTCTTTAATTTTTTTTGCCAGCCTGTTTATTACATGATATTTGATGCTGTTATTAATCTTTTTATTGCCATTTATCTCTGTTGATAAGATGTCAAAAAGTTGATATAATAAGCTAAAAATTAGAAACTTTGCTTTCAAGGATGATTGTGAGTGTATACATTTTATAATCTTGTGGGTCTTTTAGTGTCTTTTTCCTCTTAGTATATGATTATATAGGTTAGACCATACTGTATGTACAGCTCTATATCATGACTTTTAATTCAACGGTTTATTACAGGAATTCTGTGTTTTCATTTGTTATGTAAAACCATGATTCTCAGTGGCTGCTGACTGAACAGTCACATGGATAACCATGGGTGTTTACTGTCTGCTTTTTTGGGTATTGTAAGTGGTAGAGGTCTTTCTACTCTATGTAAGTAGTATTTTTAAGGTGAAAAATACAGGCTGGTTGACTGTTGAACGTGCTGCTCTTTGCCAAGCCTATAGTACACTGAGTGTCTAGGAGGCCATTCAGGGGAATCTCTGACTTCAGGTAGCTCTGCCTCCTCTGTACCAGGTACTTTTGTGCTCTAAGCCTTAGGCTAAGGTTTCAGGATCTCTTATGGCATGTTATCTCTTATAGTCCTATTGCTATAGGTACCGCTGTGCTGCTCGAAGCCAGAACACACCGGATAGCTCTGCCTCCAACCTGGGATTCCGTTGTGCAGCTGACCACTTGCCCGCTGCTGACTGATAGCCAACAGGAGCCTTTCCAGAGCCAAGAAATTGTTTCTGACTGGCTTCCCCCTTCACTCTGAACTGATCTCGTGTGAAGACTTCCCACCTGAAGAGAGTTACATGTCTGCCCAGTGGCCAAAGGGACCGTCTCGCGTGACCAAATTGCTGACGCATGTCAGTGCTTGTGCTTTATTGTGTGGTGCATCTTTGGGATCATCGCCATGTTTTCTTTGAGAGCCTTTTGAAGGGGAAGGAGAGAGCTGAGAACCTCAAAGTACTGCCCAGACTCTGCCACAGAGTGAGACCCTGGGGTCCAGTACTTCCTCTGCCTGGGCCTCTGTCCCATCATCAAATGAGGGGATGGACAACATGATCTCTGAGGCTCTCTCCAACTCGCAGATTCTATTGTGTAATAGCAGAGCATATTGTGATTGCATAGTGAGAATTTATGACAGATTATTTTTTAGCTATTTTTTTGCCATGTGTGAACCTAGGATAATACTAATCGTACAAGGTGAGAGTCCTCTTCTGTATTATTTTCAGGAAAGGGTAGGGTGTGAGTCTTTTATATTCATACTGCACTTTGTTCTTTTGAGGAAATCAGTGTCTTTTACATTGTTGTGACAAATCCCATGTGGGCCAGTGATGGGACACTCAAGTTCAGAGATCTGAACACACAGCAGGGTTTGTGGAGTGACTCTACTGTCCTTTATCTTTTAACGTTAAGTGCCTTTGGCTCAGAGGGACAGTTTGAAGCCCTGTTTCCCCTTCGCCCCCCAAGCCTTCAGAGAATGTGAAATGTGTACTAATTCGGGAAACTGTATTAAATGTGTACTAATTCTAGGTACAAGGGAAAAAGAACCAGGGCCTTGAATAGACTACAATTCCGGGTATTTGGTATATTATACTAGAGAGATGGGAAGTCTTGTTGACTTTGAGATACCAGATGCTTTGAATCATGCACTGTCAAATAAACTGGTACCCCCCCAGTCAGGCTTCACTCTTCATTCCTAACTTGGATGCCCTTTCTCATTCCCTCGTTGGTGTTTTCCTTTTTTTTAAAAAAAAAATCATTTTGTGATGCTTGTATATTTTGTTTGCTAGAAAATGCTTTTTAAATTCCAGAAGCTAGTTGATAACTTGATATGTGGGTAGTTTGTGACAATTTTAATTCTTTAAAGCAAGGACGTTCCTTCAGGAAGCCTGTTATAACCTTGCTACGTCTTGTCACAATAGACGATGCAAAGTCAAGGGCACTGCTTTGGTGAGCAGGTGCGTCGCATGCCAGGAAAGCACTTCTATTAGAGTGGTGGCTTTCAACCCAACATCCCTGTTGTTAGATCCACCCAGGTTCCTGAGCCGTTTTTAGCACAGCAGTGGAAGAAAGGCCCATCTATGTTAGTTGCTCAAAATGTCAGTCAAGTAATACTTAAAGGTGATAATTAAATGTTGTTGCTATTATGTTTTTACTTAAAAAATGACACGAGTGTATGAGCACATGAGTACTTGTGCATGGACAAAGGTCAGAAGACAACTGATGGTAGTCTGCTGTTGGGTGCTAGGAATCAAACGCAAGTCCTCAGGTTTGGTGACAAGCGAATTTAGTCTCAGAGCCACCTTACCTACCCACCTTTTGCTTTTGAGACAGGGTCTTACTCTACAGCCTAGCCTGTTCTGAAACTCACTAGGTTGACCTTGAACTCTCTGCCCTTCTGCCTCAGCCTCCTAAGCACTGTACCACCAGGCCTGACCATGGCTGTGTATTTGTGTAACCTCTTTTTTTTCTCAATATATGTTTTTATTTAAATTAGAAACATGCATGCTTCACATGTCAATCCCAGCTCCCTCTCCCACCCCTCCTCCCTTTTTCCCCCCGCAGCCCTCCAGCCCCCGGCCCAATCCCCATATCATTCCCCAGGGAGGGTGAGGCCCTCCTTGGGGGGGATCTCCAGAGTCTGTCATTTCATCCAGGGCAGGACCTAGGCCCTTCCCCATGTGTCCAGGCTCAGAGAGCATCCCTCCATGTGGAATGGTCTCCCAAAGTCCATTTGTATGCTATGGTGAACACTGATCTACTACCCAAGGCCCCAGAGATTTCTGAGGCCTCCTCACTGATACTTCATTCTTGGAGTCTGGATCAGTCCCCTGTTGGCCTCTCAGCCATCAGTCTGGTGTTCAAGAGTTCCCCTTGTACCGTCAGCTGTCTTTTTGGGTTTCACCATTGTGCAACCCCTTAACAATGTAGTCATTCGTGTGTAGATACATTTATTTACGATCACTCTGTGAACATAAAATGTTTCTCTAAAAACTTCTAAGTGATGATTAATCCCACTCAAAGGGAAAAAATAACAAACATTTGTAGGAAGTAGCTTATGTTGCAAATAAGGTTTTTATTTTTAAGTCACCACTACTCCTGTACTGTTTTTGTTTTTACTTATTACCTCCCACCTTTTGTTTATGTGTATGCGGTTGTGTGCATGCACACACCTGTCTGTGTTTTATATCTTTATCATGTATATATTTTGGGCTCTTTCCCTGTTAACTAATGTTATGTATCACAAACATTCTTGAGTGGTTTGGGGCAGCCCTTAGAGCTGCATTTTTAACAGTAGCATGAAATTAGAGAGCATTTAAAACAAAATCCTACAGTGTTCTAGGATTGAGGAACCACATATCTATGACTGCAGCATACTCTCATAGTAGTACATATTGACGTATGAACAGTCCCGCAAATGTGATTCTGAATGTGTTAGTTGCTTGTCTTACCCTTGGGCCTGCTGATTCTGGACTTGTGGTGGAGGCAGATCACCATGGCAGCCAAAGTGTGTAGAAGATGAGACTCTTTACTTCGTGGAGGCCAGGAAGTCGGGAGAGGTAAGGAACCTCAAGTATATAACTTTTGCAGAAATACCTCTACGGACTTATTTCCTTCAGCTAGGTCCTACCTCTTCTAATTTCTGCAATCTCTGAAAATTGTCCCACCAGTTGTAGACTAAGTGTTCAACACATGAACCTGAGTGGGTGGAACACTGCATAGTCAAACCATTCAAACCATTAACACTGATAATTTTTGTCTTTTACAATATATGTATACACACATACAGAGGGACACATGCACACAGACGTATGTACAGGCACATAGACAGATATACAAACATACACACAGACACACTCAGGTATACATAAACAGGCACACATACACAGGCACATATACACACTCAGACACACACATACTAGCACATATACTCAGGCATACACACACACAGACATACACATACAGGCACATAGACACATACAGGCACACAGGTCACGAACACAGCACATAAGGAAAAATATATAGATAGATGCAGACTACTTAGGAAACTCACAGCAGCACTTGTGACATAATTCTACCAGGTCCCTAATGAAGTCCCTGCTGCCATTTGGGTTTTGTATATTTTTTGTTGTTTTTTTTATTTTTTATTTTTAAATTTAAATTAGAAGCAAGGATGCTTCACATGTCAATCCCAAATCCCTCTCCCTCTCCCTCTCCTCCTCCTATGCCCTCCCACCACCCCACCTATCTCCCCTTCCCCCTAATCCCCACTTCTTTCCCCAGGGAGGGTGAGGCCCTCCATGGGGGATTTCCAGAGTCTGTCATTTCATCCAGGGCAGGGCCTAGGCCCTCCACCAAGAATCCAGGGTGAAAGTGCATCTCTCATTGTGGGATGAGCACCCAAAGTCCATTTGTATGCCAGGGATAAATACTGATCTACTACACAAGGCCCCATCGATTGCCTAGGCCTCCTCACTGACGCCCACATTCAGGGGTCTGGATCAGTCCCATGCTGGATTCCCAGCTATCAGCCTGGGGTTCATGATCTCCCCCCTTGTTCAGGTCAGCTGTTTCTCTGGGTTAAGCCAGCCCAGTCTTAACCCCTTTGCTCATCAGTGCTCCCTCTCTGTCACTGGGTTCCTTGAGTTCAGCTCAGTGTTTAGCTGTGGGTGTCTGCCTCTGCTTCCATCAGTCATTGGTTAAAGGCTCTGTTTCCCAGACTCTCAGGCAGTGGGATTGTATGCTGGCACTCCCCTGATCCATGTCTAAAATCCATATATGAATGAATACATATAATGTTTGTCTTTTTGTAAATGGGTTACCTCATTCAGGATGGTTTCTTCTAGTGCCATCCATTTGCCTACAAATTTCAAGATTCCATTGTTTTTTTTCAGCTGAATAGTGGTCCATTGTGTAAATGTACCACATTTTCTCTATCCACTCTTCAGTTGAGGGGCATCTAGGTTGCTTCCAGGTTCTGGCTATTACAAATAACACTGCTATGAATATAGTGGAACAGACATCTTTGTTGTATGAATGTGCATCTTTTGGGTATATGCCTGAGTGGAATTGCTGGGTCTTGTGGTAGGCTGATCCCATTTTCCTGAGGAATCTCCATATTGATTTCCAAAGTGACCGTACAAGTTTCCACTCTCACCAGCAGTGGAGGAGTGTTCCCCTTTCTCCACATCTTCTCCAGCATAAACTGTCATTGGTGTTTTTGATTATGGCCATTCTGACAGGAGTAAGATAGTGTCTCAGAGTTGTTTTGATTTGCAATTCTCTGATGGCTAGGGATATTGAGCACTTTCTAAAGTGCCTCTCAACCATTTTAGACTCCTCTATTGAGAATTCTCTATTTAGTTCTGTAGACCACTTTTTAATTGGATCCTTTGGTGCTTTGGAGACTTGCTTCTTGAGTTCTTTGTAGAGTTTGGAGATCAGTCAGATGTGGGGTTAGTGAATATCTTTTCCCATTCTGTGGGCTGCCTTTTTATCTTGTTGACTGTGTCCTTTGTCTTATTCAAGCTTCTCAATTTCAGGAGGTCCCATGTATTAATTGTTGACCTCAGTGTCTGTGCTACTGTTGTTACGTTCAGGAAGCTGTCTCCTGTACCAATTCGTTCAAGGGTACCCTTCACTTTCTCTTCTTAGAGGTTCAGTGTGACTGGATTTATGTTGAGGTCTTTGATCCATTTGGACTTAAGTTTTGTGTATGGCAATAGACATGGATCTATCTGCAGTTTTCTACATGCTAGCATCCAGTTATGCCAGCACCATTTGTTGGAGATGCCTTCTTTTTTCCATTGTATAATTTTAGCTTCTTTATCAAAAATCAAGTGTTCATATGTGTGTGGGTTAATATCAGGGTGTTCAATTTGACTCCATTGGTCTACCTGTCTATTTTTATATCAAACTGTTTTCTGGACTATAGTTCTATAATAGAGCTTGAAATCAGGGATGGTGATGCCTTCGGACATTGCCTTGCTGAACAGGGTTGTTTTGGCTATCCTGGGTCTTTTATTATTCCATATAAAGTTGAGAATTGTTCTTTCAAGATCTGTGAAGAATTGTGCTGGGATTTAAATGGGGATTGCATTGAATCTGTAGATTGCTTTTGGTTTAGATCTTAAGAGCAGTGGTTTCTCTTCCAGAGACCTGGGTTCAATTCCCACTCAACACCCAAATAGCAGCTCACAACTGTCTATAACTGTAGTACCATGGGATCCAGTGCACTCTTCTGGTGTTCAGACATAGAAGCAGATGAATTATCCACACACATAAAATAAGCTTTTCTGTTCTTGATTTAATTTTGGTAAGTGATTTCCGAGCATTGTCCATTTCCTTTAAATTTTGGAATTTTGTGGAGTACAGGTTTTCAAAGTATGACCTGATGATTGCCTGGATTTCCTCAGTGTCTGTAGGGGGCGGTTTTCAAAGTATGACCTGATGATTCTCTGTATTTCCTCAGTGTCAATTGTTATGTGTCCCTTTTCATTTCTGATTTTGTAAATTTGCATGTTCATACTCTGCAGTTTTGTAAGTTTGGATAAAGGTTTGTTTATCTTGTTGATTTTGTCAAAGAACCAACTCTTTGTTACATTGATTCTTTGTATTGTTTTCATAGTTTCTACTTTATTGATTTCAGCCCTCAGTTTGATTATTTCCTGGGGT